TGGCAAGCCTGAGCTCATTTTATGCTTTAGCCTTGCGGACCTTTTCCCTACAGGTGTTGGCTATTTGTTTGAATTCTTCTTTGGTTTTCTCTCTGTAGAAAACAATAATCAAAAGGACCAAGAAATATATCAATATAGCTTTGCAGCGGCAAGATTGACCCTAGCCAAAGATTGGAAAGGGGAAAAAGGTCTAACCAAAAAGGATTGGAGGGAAAGAATGCGAGAATATATGCTAATGGCCAGACTCACTTATAACAGGAGGAATAAGAGTAATGAGGACTTTGTAGAAAAACGGAAGTTGGCCATGGCATATCTGAATAGAGAGTCAGTAATATAGAGGAGCTCCATTAGGAATTTAGGTTTACCATGAATAAGGAGAGATAAATAGGCTTAAAGGCTTCATAGTGTTTCGGTGCGGGAAGTCATGGTGAAGGGTGCACGGGTGTGGGGATGAGGGTTTATTTTGTTCAGGATAGGGGGTTTTGGGTTGAGTGTAAGGTCTGGGGTATGTGTATAAAATGCCATGTGCTGATTTCCTGAATGTTATGAAAAATTTTTAATACTAAGCTCTGACTGAAAGCAGTGGAAAACAGCCAGAAATAGCAAGTTTATGTGTATTAAGATATGTAAATTATAATAATTTGTACTTAACGTCAAAATTAACTGATTGAATAAGGTAGAGATAAGCATGTACACGTCAAAAATATTGGTACCTGATTATATCTGATTTGCCATGGTTTGCTTTTTGTTATGTACCATAATCAAAATAAACAGTTTTAACCACACAAAAATAAACAGTTTTAACCCTCCAGTCATTTCTGGAGGGCCGCACCCAGAAGGTGTTATTGGGGGACTCCTGTTCAACACCACAGCCTTTGACCTGTGGTGTTCCTCAGGGCCATACTGTCCCCCATGCTGTTTAACATCTACATGAAGCCGCTGGGTGAGATCATCCGGAGTTTCGGGGTGCGGTGTCATCTGTACGCAGATGATGTCCAACTCTGTCACTCCTTTCCACCTGCTACTAAGGAGGCTGTCGAGGTCCTGAACCGGTGCCTGGCCGCTGTAATGGTCTGGATGAGGGCGAACAAACTGAAATTAAATCCAGACAAGACAGAGGTACTCCTGGTCAGTCGCAAGGCCGAACAGGGTATAGGGTTACAGCCTGTGCTGGACAGGGTCGCACTCCCCTTGAAGGCGCAGGTTCGCAGCTTGGGTGTGACCCTGGATTCATCATTGAGCCTGGATCCCCAGGTTTCAGCGGTGACCAGGGGAGCATTTGCACAGCTTAGGCTCGTGCGCCAGCTGCGCCCGTACCTTGGGAAGTCTGACTTGGCCACGGTGGTACACGCTCTGGTCACATCCCGCCTTGACTACTGCAACGCTCTCTACGTGGGGCTGCCCTTGAAGACGGCCCGGAAGCTTCAGCTAGTCCAGCGCGCGGCAGCCATGTTACTAACAGGAGCGGGACGCAGGGAGCACACAACGCCCTTGCTGTTCCAGCTCCACTGGCTGCTGATTTGCTACCGGGCCCAATTTAAGGTGCTGGTGTTATCCTACAAAGCCCTAAACGGTTCCGGCCCAAAATACCTTTCGGACCGCATCTTGGCCTATGAGCCCACGAGGACCTTGAGATCGTCTGGGGAGGCCCTTCTCTCGATCCCGCCTGCTTCACAGGCACGTCTGGCGGGGACGAGAGAAGGGCCTTCTCGGTGGTGGCCCCCCGGCTGTGGAACGACCTCCCTGCTGACATCAGACAGGCGCCTTCCCTTCTGTCCTTCCGAAAGAGCCTGAAGACCTGGCTATTTGAGAAGGCATTCAACTGAGCGCTACGGCAACTGGTAATTGACAACTGGAACGGAATACGGATTACGATATTGGTTATGATTCTATGATGTGACGGAGCGGATTATTTAGTGTAACTAGATTATAGTGTATTATTGTTGTACTGATTCCCTGTTTTGCCCTTTTTGTAAACTGTTTTTATATGTTGTGCACCGCCGCGAGTCGCCCTAGGGCTGAGAGCGGCGGTCAATAAATGCAGTAAATAAATATAAATAAATAAAAAAAGAAAAAAGAATTCTTCTTTGGTGATTTCTCCCTTTTTCCACTTCTTGTGCATGTCTCTTTTGTGTCTTAGCACAGTTAGAAGTTCTTTGGACATCCATTCTGGCTGTTAGGAATTGTGGGCGTTGGAGTCCAAAACACCTGGAGGGAGGGCCCAAGTTGGGCCATGCTTATCATTGAGTGTCAACCAATCCCAAGAAGTTTCTGCCACAAAAACTAAGTTTCTGGAGCACTACAACTCCTTTCCAAATAAGGGCCTCGCAATGAAACAGGAAATGACCCATCCAAGCCAGGAACAGAATTGTATTCCCATGTTTGTTACACTGAGTGGCGGCCTGGGCCTGGCCTAGCTTATTTCCTCCTCCAATGAGGGGAAACTACAACTCCCATCATGCCTGGGCACCCCCTTCTCCACACTTCCCCTCCTAGGCCTTATTAACTAGGCTTTATTAGGGTGTATTGTGATTGTGAGTCCCTCACCGCTTCCGGCTTCTCCGCCGTCTCCCCCAGGAGCTCATTCAGCCCCACAAACATGATTCTTCTCAGAACTACGGCGCCCGACGAGGGATGAAAAGCCCCCTGCGACGGAATAATGCGCATGCGTGCTTTTCATACTCCTCACTCCAGCCCTCTCCCGTATTGGCTTTGCTTGAGTCGCTCGCCCCCTGCCGGCTGTTTGGAAGCGGTGCGGGAGGGCGCGAGAAAAAAAATAAATAAGCAGAAGCGGGCGGGTAAGAAATTATGCAAGGAGGAAAAGTTTGAGTATATTCAAAAGGAAAATGATGGGGAGAAGGGTGCTTTGAAAGTAAAACTGTGCGTGCTATGTTTTAAAATATACATATATGGGTAGAAGGAAGTGGAGGAGACGTGGTTTTAAAAAGGGAATTTTCAGATATATTCCCAATGCCCATATGTCATGATTTACTGCCATGTTGGCCTATTTCCGCAGTAGGCCTTTGTTCACAGAAAATGCTGATTGTTTGAGAAATCAGTGCTCCAAAGAAGAAGTTACCATTCAAGGATAACAACATATCCGGACAAAACCAGCTAGCTGTTGGCTAGTTAGAACCCCAAGTTTCCCAGTCGCTCTGAAGCCATGTTTGCAACAAACTAACAGATAAGATTGCAACAAACTAACAGGAAGAAACATTCACAACCTCAGATATGCAGATGACACCACTCTGATGGCCGAAAGCGAGGAGGAGCTGAGGAGCCTTCTAATCAAGGTGAAAGAAGAAAGCGCAAAAGCTGGGTTGCAGCTAAACATCAAAAAAACCAAGATTATGGCAACAAGAATGATTGACAACTGGAAAATAGAGGGAGAAAACGTGGAGGCCGTGACAGACTTTGTATTTCTAGGCGCAAAGATTACTGCAGATGCAGACTGTGGCCAGGAAATCAGAAGACGCTTCCTTCTTGGGAGGAGAGCAATGTCCAGTCTCGATAAAAGAGTAAAGAGTAGAGACATCAGACTGGCAACAAAGATCCATTGCCTAGTCAAAGCCATGGTATTCCCTGTAGTCACCTACGGATGTGAGAGCTGGACCTTAGGGAAGGCTGAGCGAAGGAAAAGAGATGCTTTTGAGCTGTGGTGTTGGAGGAAACAGGGGACACTCCAACCCATCTCCTTGCCCCCTCCCCCTGCCTGGTCCCAGGGACCACTCCAACCACCACTCCAAGGAGAGGGGGTGGGAGGGGGACACTCCACCCCATCTCCTTGCCCCCCTCCCTCCCTGGGACCAGACAGGGGAGGAGGCAGGGGACACTCCACCCCCAATCCAATGAGAGGGGGTGGAGTGTCCCCTCCTCTCCCCCAGACAAAGGAGGGAAGGGGGAAGGAGAGGGGGACACTCCCCGTCTTCTTCTCTGGGGGGTGGAGTGTCCCCTGCCTCCTCCCCTGCCTGGTCCCAGGGAGGGAGAGGGGGCAAGGAGAGGGGGACACTCCACCCCCTCTCATTGGTTTGGGGGGTGGAGTGTCCCCTGCCTCCTCCCCAGGCAGGGGAGGAGGCAGGGGACACTCCACCCCCTCTCCTTGCCCCCTCTCCCTCCCTTGAACTGGGCTTGGGAGGAGGCAGGGAACACTCCACCCCCTCTCCTCTCCCACTCTCCCTCCCTTTGACCTGGCTTGGGAGGAGGCAGGGGACACTCCACCCCCTCTCCTTGCCCCCTCTCCCTCCCTGGGACCAGGCAGGGGAGGAGGCAGGGGACACTCCATCCCTGCCTGGTCCCAGGAGATTTGCGTACCCATCAAAGGATCCACACGGGAGAAGCCACATAAATGCATGGAATGTGGAAAGAGCTTCTGGCTGAGTGATCTGCGTGGATCAAAGGATCCACACAGGGGAGAAGCCACACAGGGGAGAAGCCACATACATGCATGGAATGTGGAAAGAGCTTCAGGCTGAGTGGAGATCTGCGTATCCATCAAAGGATCCACACAGGGGAGAAGCCACATACATGCATGGAATGTGGAAAGAGCTTCAGTCAGAGTGGAGATCTGCGTCCCATCGAAGGATCCACACAGGGGAGAAGCCACATACATGCATGGAATGTGGAAAGAGCTTCAGGCTGAGTGGAGATCTGAGTTCCCATCGAAGGATCCACACAGGGGAGAAGCCACATAAGTGCATGGAATGTGGAAAGAGCTTCAGGCTGAGTGGAGATCTGAGTTCCCATCGAAGGATCCACACAGGGGAGAAGCCACATACATGCATGGAATGTGGAAAGAGCTTCAGGCTGAGTGGAGATCTGAGTTCCCATCGAAGGATCCACACAGGGGAGAAGCCACATAAGTGCATGGAATGTGGAAAGAGCTTCAGGCTGAGTGGAGATTTGAGTTCCCATCGAAGGATCCACACAGGGGAGAAGCCACATACATGCATGGAATGTGGAAAGAGCTTCAGGCTGAGTGGAGATTTGAGTTCCCATCGAAGGATCCACACAGGGGAGAAGCCACATACATGCATGGAATGTGGAAAGAGCTTCAGGCTGAGTGGAGATCTGAGTTCCCATCGAAGGATCCACACAGGGGAGAAGCCACATAAGTGCATGGAATGTGGAAAGAGCTTCAGGCTGAGTGGAGATTTGAGTTCCCATCGAAGGATCCACACAGGGGAGAAGCCACATACATGCATGGAATGTGGAAAGAGCTTCAGGCTGAGTGGAGATTTGAGTTCCCATCGAAGGATCCACACAGGGGAGAAGCCACATACATGCATGGAATGTGGAAAGAGCTTCAGGCTGAGTGGAGATCTGAGTTCCCATCGAAGGATCCACACAGGGGAGAAGCCACATAAGTGCCTGGAATGTGGAAAGAGCTTCAGGCTGAGTGGAGATTTGCGTACCCATCAAAGGATCCACACAGGGGAGAAGCCACATACATGCATGGAATGTGGAAAGAGTTTCAGTCGGAGTTCACATCTGCGTTTTCATCAAAGAACCCACACAGGGGAGTAGCTAAATGTCGTATATACTTGAGTATAAGCTGACTGAATTTAAGGTACCGTTTATACTTGAGTATAAGCCGACCCAAATATAAGCCAAGGCACCTAATTTTACCACAAAAAACCTAGGAAAACATATTGACTTGAGTATAAGCCGAGGGTGAGAAATGCAGCAGCTATTGTAAATTTTAAAATAAAAATAGAAGATTTATTTGTGGTGTCAGAACAACCAGTCAAATTATATTACATTTCTAACAGAACAAAGCAAACAAGCAGATTACAAAATTTGTGAGTATGAGAGTTGATTAAATGTCCTTTGACCAGTATCTGGCCACTTGGAGTGCCTCTGGTGTTGCTGCAAGAAGGTCCTCCATTGTGCATGTGGCAGGGCTCAGGGTGCATTGCAGCAGGTGGTCTGTAGTTTGCTCTTCTCCACACTCACATGTCGAGGATTCCACTTTGTAATTTACCAATAAAATTACCTTAATCGAGGCATCTATAGGTTAAATGTTTCTGAATAATTGCATAAAACTTATTTAAGATAAGACTGTCCAACTCTGATTAAATCATTTTTCTAACGTTCTTCAGTGTAAATGTGCTTACGTATCTCTCCAATAATAATAAATAGGGTTAAATATTACATGTATTAATAATAATAAATAGGGCAAAATAATAAATGTAATAATAAGAACAATAAATAGAGTAAAATAATAAATGTAATAATCATAAATAGGCAGCCAGTGGAGCTGGCACAACAAAGGAGTTGTATGCTCCCTGTACCCAGCAACCGTTAATAATCTGGCTGCTGAGCGTTGGACTAGCTGCAGCTTCCGGGCAGTCTTCAGAGGCAGCCCCATGTAGAGAGCGTTGCAGTAATCCAAACGGGATGTAACCAAAGCGTGTACTACCGTGGCCAAGTCAGCCTTCCCAAGGTAGGGACGCAGCTGGCGCACAAGTTTTAGTTGTGCGAAAGCTCCCCTGACCACCGCCGAAACCTGGGGTTCCAGGCTCAGCGATGAGTCTAGGAGAACCCCCAGACTGCGTACCTGTGCTTTTAGGGGGAGTGTGACCCCGTCCAGCACAGGCTGTAACCCCGTATTCCTGGGTAAGGGGGTGGAGTGTCCCCTGCCTCCTCCCCTGCCTGGTCCCAGGGAGGGAGAGGGGAAGAGGAGAGGGGGTGGAATGTCCCCTGCCTCCTCCCCTGCCTGGTCCCAGGGAGGGAGAGGAGGCAAGGAGAGGGGGTGGAGTGTCCCCTGCCTCCTCCCAAGCCCGGTCCAAGGGAGGGAGAGGGGGCAAGGAGAGGGGGTGGAATGTCCCATGCCTCCTCCCCTGCATGGTCCCAGGGAGGGAGAGGGGGCAAGGAGAGGGGGTGGAGTGTCCCCTGCCTCCTCCCCTGCATGGTCCCAGGGAGAGGAGGCAAGGAGAGGGGGTGGAGTGTCCCCTGCCTCCTCCCAAGCCCGGTCCAAGGGAGGGAGAGGGGGCAAGGAGAGGGGGTGGAATGTCCCATGCCTCCTCCCCTGCATGGTCCCAGGGAGGGAGAGGGGGCAAGGAGAGGGGGTGGAGTGTCCCCTGCCTCCTCCCCTGCCTGGTCCCAGGGAGGGAGAGGAGGCAAGGAGAGGGGGTGGAGTGTCCCCTGCCTCCTCCCAAGCCCGGTCCAAGGGAGGGAGAGGGGGCAAGGAGAGGGGGTGGAGTGTCCCATGCCTCCTCCCCTGCATGGTCCCAGGGAGGGAGAGGGGGCAAGGAGAGGGGGTGGAGTGTCCCCTGCCTCCTCCCCTGCATGGTCCCAGGGAGGGAGGGGGCAAGGAGAGGGGGACACTCCACCCCCTCTCTGAGGGGGGGTGGAGTGTCCCCTGCCTCCTCCCCTGCCTGGTCCCAGGGAGGGAGAGGGGGCAAGGAGAGGGGGACACTCCACCCCCTCTCATTGGAGTGGGGGGTGGAGTGTCCCCTGCCTCCTCCCCTGCCTGGTCCCAGGGAGGGAGAGGGGGCAAGGAGAGGGGGACACTCCACCCCCTCTCATTACTCCACCCCCTGCCTCCTCCCCTAGGCAGGGGAGGAGGCAGGGGACACTCCACCCCCTCTCCTTGCCCCCTCTCCCTCCCTGGGACCAGGCAGGGGAGGAGGCAGGGAACACTCCACCCCCTCTCCTCTCCCACTCTCCCTCCCTTTGACCTGGCTTGGGAGGAGGCAGGGGACACTCCACCCCCTCTCCTTGCCCCCTCTCCCTCCCTGGGACCAGGCAGGGGAGGAGGCAGGGGACACTCCATCCCTGCCTGGTCCCAGGAGATTTGCGTACCCATCAAAGGATCCACACGGGAGAAGCCACATAAATGCATGGAATGTGGAAAGAGCTTCTGGCTGAGTGATCTGCGTGGATCAAAGGATCCACACAGGGGAGAAGCCACACAGGGGAGAAGCCACATACATGCATGGAATGTGGAAAGAGCTTCAGGCTGAGTGGAGATCTGCGTATCCATCAAAGGATCCACACAGGGGAGAAGCCACATACATGCATGGAATGTGGAAAGAGCTTCAGGCTGAGTGGAGATCTGAGTTCCCATCGAAGGATCCACACAGGGGAGAAGCCACATACATGCATGGAATGTGGAAAGAGCTTCAGGCTGAGTGGAGATCTGAGTTCCCATCGAAGGATCCACACAGGGGAGAAGCCACATACATGCATGGAATGTGGAAAGAGCTTCAGGCTGAGTGGAGATTTGAGTTCCCATCGAAGGATCCACACAGGGGAGAAGCCACATACATGCATGGAATGTGGAAAGAGCTTCAGGCTGAGTGGAGATTTGAGTTCCCATCGAAGGATCCACACAGGGGAGAAGCCACATAAGTGCATGGAATGTGGAAAGAGCTTCAGGCTGAGTGGAGATTTGAGTTCCCATCGAAGGATCCACACAGGGGAGAAGCCACATACATGCATGGAATGTGGAAAGAGCTTCAGGCTGAGTGGAGATTTGAGTTCCCATCGAAGGATCCACACAGGGGAGAAGCCACATACATGCATGGAATGTGGAAAGAGCTTCAGGCTGAGTGGAGATTTGAGTTCCCATCGAAGGATCCACACAGGGGAGAAGCCACATAAGTGCATGGAATGTGGAAAGAGCTTCAGGCTGAGTGGAGATTTGAGTTCCCATCGAAGGATCCACACAGGGGAGAAGCCACATACATGCATGGAATGTGGAAAGAGCTTCAGGCTGAGTGGAGATTTGAGTTCCCATCGAAGGATCCACACAGGGGAGAAGCCACATACATGCATGGAATGTGGAAAGAGCTTCAGGCTGAGTGGAGATTTGAGTTCCCATCGAAGGATCCACACAGGGGAGAAGCCACATAAGTGCATGGAATGTGGAAAGAGCTTCAGGCTGAGTGGAGATTTGCGTACCCATCAAAGGATCCACACAGGGGAGAAGCCACATACATGCATGGAATGTGGAAAGAGTTTCAGTCGGAGTTCACATCTGCGTTTTCATCAAAGAACCCACACAGGGGAGTAGCTAAATGTCGTATATACTTGAGTATAAGCTGACTGAATTTAGGATGAGGCACCTCATTTAGCACTTGAGTATAAGCCGACCAAATATAAGAGGCACCTAATTTTATCACGAAAAATGGGGAAATTTATTGACTTGAGTATAGGCCGAAGGTGGAAAATGCAGCAGCTATTGGTAAATTTAAAGAATAAAAATACAAATATTTACCAATTTTATTTGTCGTGTCAGAACAACCAGTCAAATTATGTTACATTTCTAACAGAACAAAGCAAAACTAGCAGATTACAAAATTTGTAGTTGATTAAATGTCCTTTGACCAGTATCTGGCCCCTTGGGGTGCCTCTGGTGTTGCCGCAAGAGGTCCTCCATTGTGCATGTGGCAGGGCTCAGGGTGCATTGCAGCAGGTGGTCAGTGGTTTGCTCTTCTCCCCACTCACATGTCGTGGATTCCACTTTGTAATTTACCAATAAAATTACCTTAATTGAGGCATCTATAGGTTAAATGTTTCTGAATAATTGCATAAAACTTATTTAAGATAAGACTGTCCAACTCTGATTAAATCATTTTTCTAACGTTCTTCAGTGTAAATGTGCTTACGTATCTCTCCAATAATAATAAATAGGGTTAAATATTACATGTATTAATAATAATAAATAGGGCAAAATAATAAATGTAATAATAAGAACAATAAATAGAGTAAAATAATAAATGTAATAATCATAAATAGGCAGCCAGTGGAGCTGGCACAACAAAGGAGTTGTATGCTCCCTGTACCCAGCAACCGTTAATAATCTGGCTGCTGAGCGTTGGACTAGCTGCAGCTTCCGGGCAGTCTTCAGAGGCAACCCCACGTAGAGAGCGTTGCAGTAATCTAAGCGGGATGTAACCAAAGCGTGTACTACCGTGGCCAAGTCAGCCTTCCCAAGGTATGGACGCAGCTGGCGCACAAGTTTTAATTGTGCGAATGCTCCCCTGACCACCGCTGAAACCTGGGGTTCCAGGCTCAGCGATGAGTCTAGGAGAACCCCCAGACTGCGTACCTGTGCTTTTAGGGGGAGTGTGACCCCGTCCAGCACAGGCTGTAACCCCGTATTCCTGGGTAAGGGGGTGGAGTGTCCCCTGCCTCCACCCCTGCCTGGTTCATATTTGTCTTATTAATACCGTTGCGAGGGGTAATTATCGAGGGGGGCAATCTGTATTCATAAGCCGTCAAACCGGATAGTCTCTGATGCTTCTCACACCGGCCTTCGAAGGAAGTTCGGACGTTCTGGAGCGATCGTGTCTATTGCCCTAGTCATCTCCCCATTCCAGAGAGCGACCAGAGCATCAACAGGATCACCAACCACGGTGGCGGGAAAGTCCCCAAGAGCCATCAGGAAACCGTCCGGATCCATAAGCCTCCTAGGGCGGACCAATTTAATAGGTCCTCCACCTCTGCGGAGGTTAGGGGGTGCAGCAAGTCTAAAACTGACCAGGTGGTGGTCGGTCCATGGCAACGGAGAGATGGATAACTCCTCAACACCGCCACCTTCCTCCCATCCCTGACAGAAAACCAAGTCCAATGTATGTCCAGCACTGTGGGTGGGGCCAGATACTTGTTGGGACAGCCCCATGGTTGCCATGGTAGACATGAAGTCCTGAGCCGCTCCCGATGAGGCGGACTCGGCGTGGATGTTGAAGTCCCCCAGCACAAGCAGCCGTTGGGACTCCAACACCAGGTCCGAGACCACCCCCGCTAGCTCAGTCAGGGAGTCTGTAGTGCAGCGAGGTGGCCGGTACACTAGCAGAATCCCTAATCTGTCCCGGTCTCCCACCCTCAGGTAGACGCATTCAAATTTTGTTGACTGTGGGATGGGGGCCCTGGTCAGAGGAATGGTATCTCTATAGACCACTGCAACCCCGCCTCCCCGCCCTCCGGATCTCGGTTGGTGCTGCACAGAGAACCCTGGTGGGCAAAGCTGGGTTAAGTTTACACCTCCCGCTTCGTCCAACCAGGTCTCTGTGATGCACGCCAGATCTGCCCGTTCATCCAGGATTATATCCTGGATGAAAGTTGTTTTACCGTTGACAGATCTGGCGTTCAACAGCACCACTTTCAATCCGGAAGGACCGCCATCCTGGTTACACCGACTTATCATATCAGGAGACCGATTTGGGATTACTAAAGTTGTTCCCCATTCCCTAGGTCGAATTAGAGGTCTCCCTTTCCTGTATCTCCCCCTCCCCACCATGACTTCTATGGGGGCTCCCCGGTTAACGGAACCCCCTCCCTCCTCCATGACGCAATGAGCAGCCAACGTATCAACAAGAAATGCATCATTAGTTGTTTGACATATTATGGTTACGGGGTACCATAAACCTGTCCTCCATCTGTTTCCTATTCCCGTTTTATAATGCTCAAATCCCGTTGGCCTACTCCGTTCCCACTCTCCAGCGTAAACAATCAGTAGCAAGGTTAACAAGTACCGGGGGAAGGGTGATGACATAAGTGGTAGGTATTAGGGACTATCGGGAGAGTATTCCTGAAGTTTTTAAATGCAGATGGGTCATGCGAGATGGAATAGATAATTAAGATGCGAATTGTTTTCTCAATCCGCTCTAAGGTGCTAAAATAAAGTGCGTCATGGAGGGCCTTCTATTTCCATTGCACCCCAATACTTTTGCATTGATTTGCATTGATTTTGCATTCTATTTCCATTGCACCCCAATGCTTTTGCATTTATTTGCATTGATTTTGCATTCTATTTCCATTGAAACCCAATACTTTTGCATTGACTGCATTGATTTTGCATTCTATTCCCATTGCACCCCAATACTTTTGCATAGACTTGCATTGATTTTGCATTCTATTCCCCTTGCAATCCAATACTTTTGCATTGACTTGCACTGATTTTGCATTCTATTTCCATTGCAACCAAATACTTTTGCATTGACTTGCATTGGTTTTGCATTCTATTTCCATTGCACCTCAATACTTTTGCATTGACTCGCATTGATTTTGCATTCTATTTCCATTACACCCCAATACTTTTGCATTTGCTTGCATTGATTTTGTATTCTATTTCCATTGCACCCCAATATTTTTGCATTTATTTGCATTGGTTTTGCATTTTATTTCCATTGCACCTCAATACTTTTGCCTTGACTTGCATTGATTTTGCATTCTATTTCCATTGCACCCCAATACTTTTGCATTGATTTGCATTGATTTTGCATTCTATTTCTATTGCACCCCAATACTTTTGCATTGACTTGCATTGAATTTGTATTCTATTTCCATTGCACCCCAACACTTTTGCATTTACTTGCTTTGGTTTTGTATTCTATTTCCATTGCAACCCAATATTTTGCATTTAATTGCATTGATTTGGCATTCTATTTCTATTGCACCCAATACTTTTGCATCGATTTGCATTGGTTTTGCATTCTATTTCCATGGCACCCCAATACTTTTGCATTTATTTGCAGTGGTTTTGCATTCTGTTTCCATTGCACCCTAAGACTTTTGCATGTATTTGCATTGATTTGGCATTCTATTTCCATTGCACCCCAATACTTTTGCATTGACTTGCATTGATTTGGCATTCTATTTCCATTACACCCCAATACTTTTGCATTGATTTGCATTGATTTCCATGGCACCCCAATACTTTTGCACTGACGTGCATTGATTTTGAATTCTATTTCCATTGCACCCCAATACTTTTGCATTTATTTGCATTGATTTTGCATTCTATTTCTAATTTAACCCAATACTTTTGCATTTATTTGCATTAGTTTTGCATTCTATTTCGATTGCACCCCAATACTTTTGCATTGACTTGCATTGATTTTGCATTCTATTTCCATTGCACCCCAATACTTTTGCATTGACTTGCACTGATTTTGCGTTCAATTTCCATTGCACCCCAATACTTTTGCATTTATTTGCATTAGTTTTGCATTCTATTTCCATTGCACCCCAATACTTTTGCATTTATTTGCATTGATTTTGCATTCTATTTCCATTGCACTCCAGTACTTTTGAATTGACTTGCATTGATTTTGCATGCTATTTCCATGGCACCCCAATACTTTTGCATTTATTTGCAGTGGTTTTGCATTCTATTTCCATTGCACCTCAATACTTTTGCATTTATTTGCATTGATTTTGCATTCTATTTCCATTGCACCCCAATACTTTTGCATTTACTTGCATTGATTTTTCATTCTATTTGCAATGCACCACAATACTTTTGCATTTATTTGCATGGATTTTGCATTCTATTTCCATTGCACCCCAAAAATTTTGCTTTTTTTCTATTGATTTTGCATTCTATTTCCATTGCACCCCAATACTTTTGCATTGACTTCCATTGATTTTGCTGGTTAACAGCGGTCTCAGAATGTGAGTGATGGTACTGCAAGTCCCATCATCCATGGTTCATCCTCCTCCAAACTGCAGTAGGATGTCGAGTGGGTCATGGGGGCTCTGTGTGCCAAGTCTGGTCTGTATTGGTAATTGTCTGACTCAGCCCCCTCTGGCCTTTTCCTTTCCTCTCTTTGTCATCTCGGAATCTTGGAATTGAGGCTGGCCAATCAGAGACCATATGCAAATTTCCTTCTCATGTCCCTGTTTCTGCCATGAACTCTTTTCTCCACCAGGGGCTCCTATTGAAGCTGGCCAATCAGAGACCATATGCAAATAGCACCACTGGGGCAGCCAATCAGAATGTTGGAACTTTCAGGCTGACCAATCAAAACGCTGGCACATACTCCTCCCGTCGCACCGCCACACTTTTGTCCGCCGCATACAAACTTTCACCTTTATTATATACTAGCTTGGGGACCCGGCGCTGCCCGGGTTATTAGAGAAAGTGGGTAATGGCGGTTCTGTATGCCAAGTTTGGTCTTTATTGGTCATTGGATAATGGCTGCATTGTTTTCAGGAAGTGAGTGAAGGTACTTGAAGTCCCATCATCCATGGTCCACCCTCCTCCAAACAGCAGCAGGATGTAGAGTGGGTCATGGGGGCTCTGTGTGCCAAGTTTGGTCTTGATCAGTCATTGGCGAGGGTCTCAGTGGTCTCAGGAAGTGAGTGAAGTGACTGCAAGTCCCATCATCCATTGTCAAATTCTTCCAAACCGCACCAGGATGTAGAGTGAGTCATGCGGGCTCTCTGTGTAAATTGTGGTCCTGATCCATCATTGTTGGCAGTTGTAATGGTCTTAGGAAGGGAGTGCAGGTATTGCAAGTCCCATCGTCCATGGTGCATCCTCCTCCAAACCGCACCAGGATGTAGAGTGCGTCATGGAGACTCAGTGTGCCAAGTTTGGTCTTTATCGGTAATTGGATGAGGGTTGCAGTGGTCTCAAGAATTGAGCAAAGGTACTGCAAGTCCCATAATCCATGGTCCATCCCCGCCAAACCACACCAGGCGTAAAGTGGGTCATGAGAGGTCTATGTGCCAAGTTTGGTCCTGATCAGTCATTGGATGAGGTTAACAGCGGTCTCAGAATGTGAGTGATGGTACTGCAAGTCCCATCATCCATGGTTCATCCTCCTCCAAACTGCAGTAGGATGTCGAGTGGGTCTTGTGTGCTCTGTGTGCCAAGTCTGGTCTGTATTGGTAATTTTCTGACGCAGCCCCTCTGGCCTTTTCCTTTCCTCTCTTTGTCATCTCGGAATCTTGGAATTGAGGCTGGCCAATCAGAGACCATATGCAAATTTCCTTCTCATGTCCCCGTTTCTGCCATGAACTCTTTTCTCCACCAGGGGCTCCTATTGAAGCTGGCCAATCAGAGACCATATGCAAATAGCACCACTGGGGCAGCCAATCAGAATGTTGGAACTTTCAGGCTGGCCAATCAAAACGCTGGCACATACTCCTCCCGTCGCACCGCCACACTTTTGTCCGCCGCATACAAACTTTCACCTTTATTATATACATAGATATAGATATAGATATAGATATAGATATAGATATAGATAGATATAGATATAGAAG